TAGATTTTCACAAGGGGGGGGAAAAGTCCTTCCCAGAGTGCCAGCTATCTTATTCTTTCACAATGACACAGCAGGAAGCGTTTCCAGGCACTGAATACTGACAGATGAGTTTCACTGAGAAGATGGAAAGATCATGCAGGAAAATAACACAGGGTGATGTTATTCAGCTTCTCCTATTAAAAAAACTCAAGACCTCATGGATTAACAAATAAATGAGGGTTTGCTAATCTGCAGGATGACAAAAATTGCTTTAGCCCTTGAAATTGCACCAAATACAACAGGTGAATACAATTAAAATAGGGCACAGCATGAGCATTCTTGATGTGGCAGGCCTCGGTGAGGAAGCAAGCTAAGGAATATTTGGAAAAACGTTTCTACTCTAAGCCACATGAACAGTGTAATGAATTTTCTTGTTGTGTACTGCACGCATGGCTTTGAAATGTTTTGGGTTTTGGTTTTTTTTTTTTTTTTTGGCAAAGGCAACCCCTGCTAGGAAGTATAAGGGTTTTTAAGGAACACAGCGAATTGCAACGTCCTGAGATAATATCTCAAAACAACCATGACAGATGTACATATGGAAAGTATTTTCTAGATTTCAGCCTAACAAATAGCAGCCACAGCACCTCTGGCTAAGGAATACACCAGTCCTGAACTACTAAGCTGATTTGGTTTTGTATTACCAAGGTATATCCCTATTCTTTCAGTATTCAGCCTACCTGGCTGCCACAGAAAGCAAATCAAGAGATCTCTATTTGTTCACTGTACAAAACAGCAAATCCTATAATTTTTAGCACATAATTTTCAAGTGAGTAGTCATTCATTAAAACTTAAACACTTGCTCATTTCTTAGGAATCCGTGGAATCAATTCTATTGACAATTAATGGCTCTGACCATCCACATAATCACTGACAGGCTGACTTCTCTGCAAAATCCAAAGCGGTCCCAGCTAATTATCTAGTAAGCAGTTCCTTAAATTCCACAAGAAAACTCATTCTACCAAACTGATGAGATTGTATCACTGTGAGAAGACTGAATGTTGGGAAACACCTTACTTAGTTTACATAGAGACATCAATCATCTTTTTATTCTGATTTATTGAGCTCTACACCAAGAGAGGATGGTTGCTTATCTTCCAGTGATTGTGACCTAACTGCAGCGCAATGTGGGCACCAGGAATGTTCTAAAAACTAATACTACAAAAATGCACAATGCAAACTTTCCCTAAGCTGGAAACAATTACGAGTTAAACAAAGGCAGATTCACAGGGACAGTCCCAGATGCCGGGCTGGGGACAGCTCTCAGGGCGAGGAGAGGTTGAGTGACAGGGCTTGTTAGTGGAGAGGAAAAGGCTCTGGGGGGACATAAAAGCAGCCCCCCAATACCGATGAGGAGGTCATCAAGAGGACAGAGCCTTCTCAGAGGTGCACAGCAAGAGAACATGAGGTTGAGTTCATAAGCTGAAAGGGGTAAGGTCTGACTGCATATATGGAAAAAGATTACCATGTGGGTAACTAAGCTTTGGAGGATTCAGCATCACGTGATGACAATCGTAAGATAAACTCATGATTGGCAAAACCGAAGCCTTACAAAATTGATCGCAACGACGATGAAATCACTTGAACAGTACCATTTAATGCAGGCAAATACAGGGTTCCTAGCTCTGAAAAATTGAAGTCAGATAAGGTGGCAGACAGTGTCTTCCTGTCACTGAAAAGGTCTTTTGATGAGAACAATCAGTTACAACATAGGTCTCCAGATCAATTCTGTAGCTGATAAGAAAGTAGGTTTTGGATACGTAAGTAAAGGGCCAGCAAGCCTGAGTATTGAGATAATCTCTTTACCTAGCATTTGTGAAAATGGATGTTTGATGACTCTGCCCAAATTTATTGTACAACCTTCCAAAAAGTTAGTGACATTTTGCAAAGTGTGTGGGGAAGAACTGTAGAATTACTCAAGCTATATAAACAATCATATGTACTTTAAAAAATAGTTTGTTTAAAAGTGACCTGATGATCACTGGCTGAAGGAAGCTGCAAGGGAAGAGGTTCAGTAACTGACAGCTCCTTCCTCGAGCTGAAGGAGGCCTCCGAGGGCTGGAAGCTGAAGCTGCACTAACTCAGCTCTCAGATAAGAGAGTTTTTTAAAGCAATTAATTGAACAACTTGAGCTCTGATTTTCGTATCATTTTTACATCCTAAAACAAGGCTGCTTTCCCAAAAGCTACAACTATGTGCTCAGGTATAAGCCATAGATTTGATGCAAAAATTGAGAAGTTCCTTATGCAGGAAGAGATCATAACTGTCCCTCACAGTCTGATCTGTAACACAAACATTCACGGCACAACGGTTTTCCAAGAATCAATAATAAGGATTTGGTATCTATGATGTGACTTTTTCAAGCATCTGCAAGGCAGCATTCATTTCTGATGACTTAATACCAGCCTACGGAAGTGAATAAACTCCAGTTTCACATTTTCAATAACCAGAGGCAGGCTTCAGATTAGCTGTTAACCTCTTGGGCAGCCACACTTAGCCTGGAATGTCAGCAAAGGGATCCCAGGATTTGAAATCTGAAATGACATCAGTGAAATACCGAGTCATCTCCCCCAGGAGAACCACAGAAGACAGCTCGATGTACATTTGTTTTGGCTGTTACAAGCCATATATTCCCACATTGACAAATGACCACAGGCATTCTCTTGCAGTATCTGTTAAGACACAGATGTTTGTATACAAAATTATTTGTATCTAGATATATTTGCACATCTGTTTGTATATAGACTGTGCATGCAGGCATGTATCTTACACATACACTATTTGTATAAGTGTATTACACATGTAAAAATGTCTCAGGGAAAATTCATTAGCATTCCCGCATTAATCATATCATACTTTGCAAGTATTTTCTTAAGTGATAGGACAGGACCACAGCAGTTTCACTTCACAACAAAGTGCTTTATACACTACGTGACATCTACACCCAAGAGAGACAAAAACTCACGCTGCAATGGCATACTTTGAGGCTAATTGTAAAAACAGCCATTTCTCTCCCTTGCACAATTTATTCTCTCCAGACGTGCGTTACTGGTTTTGTCTTGATGTCGCTGTATGGAATATACATGGAATAGTATGAAATATACAGCACTACCTGGTGCTGTTACTACCAATGAAATACCTAAACTAAATTCAGATAAGCTCCAAAAAAAGGTTAACATGGCAGAACATGAATTTTACAGATACCTGTGGAGACTACTTAGAGTTTACTAAATAAAAAATGTTTGTTCAAAATTATTTTTATTTAGAAGACTGTCAACAAAACACTCAATTTCCCTTTCACTTCTTCCACAGCTGCTTTTATCTGCAAAAAACCCAACACTTCCATGCTATTAGCGTAGCAGTACATATTTTGAGTGCTCACCTCCCTGTTTTTGAGGGAGGTGTGTTTTTAAAAGAAGGTGACATTCTTCCTTTCTGTGGATACTCACGATTTCCAATTTCGGAATGAGATTGAGGAATGCAGGACAGCCATTTCTTAGCATTTCATCTCTCTTTGGGAAGTGGACATTACTGTCTGGCTGGTCTAAGGTCTAATAATTTACTCAAAGCACTGGTAAGGCTCACCTACCTGACACAAGACTGTACCAGTACTATGAGAGCATCCTTCCTTACAAAAACCTACCCAGACACCAGACAAACCGCTTTCCCTCTGGCAGTTAGAAGAAATTAAGTCCCAAATTCAACACTCAGCAATAAGCATGTAGCCTCACCATTCCCAAAGAGCTATAAATTTCCCTGGCAAGATATTAAGAGAATAATTCAGTCTAACAATGCAAACAAAGAAAATTATTCAGTCTGCTACCTTCACTATGCTGGTTTTTTTTTTTTTTTCCTAGGGCCGTATCCCCTCTGTGACTACTGTCAGTGTTTTATGGCTTGGAAGGCTTCCTGGCACTCTTTGCCAAAATGATATAACAAAACCGTTAGAAAAAAACCCTCTTCCAGAGTAGGTGTCTACTAAATTTTTCTCACCTTAGGCTTACAGTCTCATCCCAGCCCTGCAAACACTCACAAATACCAGCACAGTTACAACATCTCATTAAGCAAGAAAATAGCTAGAAAAATGAACTTGTAATCCTGATATTTCCTCTTAAAAGAATGAGATAAGTTAGGTGCACTGCCTGACTTTGCGTTTTCAATGAACTCTTCAAATCAACATTTACCTTGAAACTTTCTTCAATCCTTAAGGTTAACTTCAATAAAAGTATTGGAAGAGTTTAATTAAAATGAGAGTAACTTTTACATGCTTGAGGTACGCACTTGTATAACGTAACGTGACACAACTTCAGAGATCCATACAAGGGGGAAGTTAGTACTTTGTTCACCTCTACCTCCATGCTCAATCTCATCTGAGAGGCACATCTCACAGATGTTCATCAGGCAACTACTCAATGCCATGTTTTGCTTTGCCCAGTCCATACTATACACAGAACAAATAGGATCAGTAAAAAGAAAATAAAGTTTCCACTCCTGTCTTTCAAACGTGCCCAGATTTCTCTTGGCTTAATAAAGCACGCAATATGTAAGAGTTGGGAAGAAAAAAATTGCACTTTGAAAGAGACAGAAGGGTGAGAACTTTTTGCAGGCCTTTTAAAGTAAAAAAACCTCACATAACTGCGCCAAAACAATTCACTATCATTTGCCGGACGGAACATGTACAACTTCAGGGAAAATCTCAGAAACAAGAAGGAAAAGATCATCTATTTTGGAGGTATGACTACATTATGGTCAACAATTTAGCATATGGTGAATAACACTACTGTGTTGAATTTACTTTCCCAGATAACGCATATTTTGTTTGAATAACTGGTTGCTGATACAATGAGTCACTCAACTGCCTGAAGTACCAGCTTGAATGCTTTAAAAAGACTGACTGGGAATCGCCGAGTACAGTATGTGTATTTGTTTAGGAACAACGTGCTTTAAATAAACCGCTGACTCACCTTGTCACGCAAATGATGCTCTGCAGCCTCAATATTCAAAGGATCGTCAAAATTCAAAAGATCCTGGAAAAAGAAACAGAGAACATTACAGGGTTCCTACTCACTGTGTCATACAAGGAATCCAAAGCTCTAATGAACAAGATAATGAAACAAAGCAAACAAGACCAGCAAGTGTAGTGCCATTTTCTCAGTACCTTGATAGGTATTACTGCCAAAGGTAGATGCAAATGAGTTTGATGATTGCAAATCAAACAAGTCAATTAAAGGACAACAGCAGCAAGGCATTCGACCCCATCTAGTGGCAGGCCACACACAGCCCCGTGACACCTCTGGCAGTGATGCATATCTATTTGCAAACTGAGACAGTTTAAAATCAAATTTTGAAGGAACATTCAAAGTTTCAGAAGGCACAATTCCTGTTGATTTTTGTTTAAGGGTACTGTAAACCCTTAAAAAAAACCCCTGCAAACAGTCTGGTGATAAAGCAGGAAGAGCCTCCTTAACACCATCTCCACAGCAAAGCAATTTCATTCCCTCTGCGAAGAAACTACATAACCTGAAGCCTGACAGACAAGGAAGTTTTAGTGCAATGGGAAAAACAGGTCGGAGAGGAAAGGGAGTGAAAAGACCCAAAGGGCTAAGGACACGTGGGACCAGGGAGCCAAAATAATAAAAATAAATCTCAGGTCTACCTGTCAGTTTAATCTCAAATATTAACTTCGGAAGAGAAATGGCCTAGGGTTAAAACCAAAGGAAACCAAGACGCTGATAAAAAGAGGAACTATCATTAAAAAATAACATTGGATCACGAAAACCCCTATTCTGCCTGCAGCCCAGATCACTTTCCCCAGTTTAAGGTTAGCCTGTGACAGCAGCGAAATGCCATCGTTTCACAAGCGTGAAAGGCTCGCTCATGTCACTCTCCAACTCATTTTCAAGCAGCAAACCTCCCATTTCATTCAAACGAGTATGCCAATCCACCTCATTTTCACTCGCTTTCTTCAAGAAAATCCCAAAAGAAACTGCAAGGCCAGTATGATCCAATGCCAGCTTTTCAAAGCCTAAATATTTATAAGTTGGGTGTGAGGGAAATCCAAGAGGCAAGCTGGGAAGCACAGCTCTTACCAGCCATGACAAATCCCCGTGGTCTCCGATGCGTGACCATCGCTCTTTGCAGCTGTTTGCCCAACACATTATTTTTACACGCAGTTCTGCCTCTGAAGGCACTTCTTTGTACCTCCAGTGGATTTCGCTTTCTTCCAGTTACTTAGCATGCAGTGGGAGACTAACTGTGAAATGCAATTACTCTTTGTTGAATAGACAAATGCTCTCCAATCTTCTAAATCAATTTACAAAAGAAGCTGTCGAAACAAATCAAGCCCCTGGACGCCCGGAAAGCTTAGGAGATTGTAGCCAGTCACTGGCTTGGCCTATGCTAGAGGTTTTGGAAACGCACCATGATCCTGGTGATAGTGCTGGAAGCACAGTCACTGCTGTGCCCCTCCTCCTGCAGGTAATGGAGGAAGGCATTCTTCTCTCCGAAAATATGCTGGGGCTAGCGAAGCCCACATCCCAAGCCTTTCACAGCCTCCTCCATACGCCCTGGAGTAGCTGGGGTAGTTCTCTCCAGAGTCAATGACAAACGTGGCAACCAAGTTAGTGCCTTTCTTTGCTTTCATCCGACCTTCCTACCCAACAGCAATGGCTGTGGAAGGGGACCATAATCCCGGACTCCCTAAGAAAGGTAACTTCTGTACAGTAAAGACTTAGCCTCTCTCTGCTTCAAGGGCAAAAGCAGCTGTTGCATCCTGCCTGCCTCTTGCGGCATCCTGCCCTCTCCTCCATTTTCAAGCTGGTCCTGTAATTACGAGGCACAGGTTTCTTGCTCCTGTCAATCTAAGGAAAAAAAGTGGTAAGTGGGATCCCTGAACAAAATTATATCATTTCTGTGACACGTCGGGGTTTATGCAAATTCTGTGGGTGGGTACTGAGGTCCTTGAACAGAAATGTAAGTGCTCAAAACAGGAATGAGACTGCAGGGCAGTCATTAATTCCTAAACATCATTTTTTTAAAAACGTAACACCAACACAACTCCTTCTCGGAGCAATACGAATTTCTGTTTCCTGCAGCAGAAGGAATTTTATACTCTGTGGAAGATCCCAAGTAACTTCTTACACAAAATATCCTGTAACAGGTTTGCAACCAAAAGTAAAACGATGTACGGAAAAGCTGGCATTTCAGATTGTCTGTATGAGACAATCTTGCAGTTATACAAACTAAAGGACAAACTGATTTCATACTTGTTACAACACCCACTGAGGCCAAAGGAAGTAATGACCTTAAGTTTAAGCAGCAACAGATGGGGTTCACATTAGGTGATGCTGAAACCAAACCAGGCAGGAAAAAGGAAAGTGAATATGCAAAATATTCATTTACTTACAGTAAATAAAGAGTTTAACCCCCAGACAACATCCTGCAAAGGAAAAACACAGTCAGTTAGGAATGTATTTCAGGTGTTTTGAACCCATTCACATACTTTATTTTTCTATTAATCCATGAAATTACTGGAAGTCAAATCTAGACTAAAGGTGATGTCTTACTAATTTAAATCAAAATATTGAAAAAGCTTTCCCATTTCATGGATGCTTGATATTTAGAAGTCACCAAAAAACAAATACTGCATGTTCAAATACAAGGTCAGATCTTTTTGTGTGTATAGCAGCCTTATTCCTATTGTTTCTCTGCTCAAGGAGAGGAATGATACCTTAGTATATGCCACCAACTGACTGCACTGCTTAGTTCAAAGGGTGGGTATAAAACTTAATTCAGCAATCCATTCTTAAAATTAAAAAATTAAAATTTTTTTGTGTCAGACAAATATTTGAAACTGTGTCAAAATACCAGAGAAAAGAGATTTAGCTGTAGTATGAGCATGGAGAAATGCCATTCTTACAGGAGCATATGTCTCCAATAATTTTACTGCCTTTAAGTATCTATTTAAACACAGCTGAATAGAGAGGGTTTGCAATTCCTGCAAACAGGAAGCTTCAGGGGACTCTGCCTCCAAATGCTGTCATCAAACACAGTTTATTTTGGGGTGGGCATCCCCAAAACAGTTCCACTTCCACTGATCTAAGAGTCCACATCCTCAGTTACAACCTCCAGAGGATAAGAAATGCACAAGATCCAAATATTACAGAAAGAGACTTAAAAGCATCACGTACCACCAACTCTGAGGCTAAGTTTTCTACCTAGAGGAAAGACTATTTTCTTTAGTAGCAGCATAACTAAGCTACCCTACTGCAAAATCCCCCTGCAGTCTGGGAACTGGAGCTCACACCTACCAGACAATTAAGTAAGATCAGCATTGCACCTCCTGCCCTTGCAGACTGCCAGCACCTGACCTCCTGATTTCCAGTAGCGGGACAAACTGGGACAATAACTGCATATTAACTGTTTCATGCCTAAAATGAACCTTTCACAATAAAGATAAAGTAAAAAATTCCTATCCATGGCAAAGAACTTCAACAAACAAGTATATTTCAGTTTGTTTCCTTTTCCAGGCCCTCTGCTAAGAGTGGTGGACCACAGAAATCCATATCCCTTAAGAACACTATCCAATTATGTTCTAATGAAAAAGACACAATGTCAGCATTATCTGGACAACAGCCTCTCACGATCCGATTTTCTTTTGATCTTGCACAAACAACCTACTCAGTTTATCTGCTTTCAATAACATGAATCTGCCTAGCAAAGTTGATATTGTCAGACGCAGTTTTCAGTTTCAGCATCTTCTCCTAATGGAGTTTCTGAAATCATCAGGTGCGGCAAAGACAGCAACTCTTTCAAATGAACTCATCATCCTCAGTGGCAGCACAGACACACGTAAACTGCAAAAGAGGACACACCTGAGACACCTAAGGATTAGTTATCCATATATTTTAAGACTATGGTGCTGAGCAGTCATCCCCACTCCCGAACAACCACAGTGTCAGTTCCTTGGCAAGTATGAGAACATGGACTATTTCAAATAACGGATGAGTAAGTCATCATTTCAGCCTTTAAGTTCTGTGCTTGTTTACCTACAACTACTGTCACAGAAACCGGGCATAGCATTGGTTAGCAAAACATGGTATTTGGGAAACGTATATTAAGCAATCCTGGGGATAAACTATTTGCACAGTGCAATGGTGCTAGAGAAAAAATAAGCCAAAGTCACTGATTAAAGGAGGATTTCAGTGGTGTGGAGAGCCTGGAGAGTAGGAACAGGCATGGAGGTCTCAGTTTCTGCTTTACTCTCCTCCGTTCAGGCATGAGATGGTGCGCAGCACAGGCTGCCACGGTGTCACCGCTCTCGGGGTCTGCTCGGCACCGGTGCCGCTACTTACGCTGCCCGGGGCACGAATGCAGACCGAGGACTGACTGATGCAGGTGTGTAACCAGGGACGGCTGAGAGTGCCTCTGTCTCCAGCCAGCCACTCTGCCCCAGCACATGCTCTGACCCCCGAAGGTCAGGAGCCCCTTCCACCGCTGCCCTCAAAGGCTGTATTGTCCTTCAGGGAGGCAGAGTGAATGTCTTGGGGGTGTTAAGAATTTCTTGCGTCCGATTTTAAGCACTGTGTGTTTCCCACAGCTTTTGATAATGGGACCTTACTAAAGCACAAAGTAATTTGCTTTCTTCCACTTGAAGAAGCAGGAATAAATTAACTTTCTAAGGGTCGTCTTTCATCTACACCATGTTACAGCAGACTGTGTCTGGAGAATGTGATGCAGAATTACAATGGTGAGCATTAAAAAACATCCTAAAGAGGTATGAGGAGCTCACACTGGGGTCTGTCCATTTCTAAATCCTGCCTGAACGCCAGAACAGCATTCACAGGGTTGCAAACTGTTCACAACTGTTCAACCACGTATCAGCATGGCTAAAAGGAAAGAAACAAGAGAGCAACTCAGTCACACCGATTCTAAAACCCCAAAGACCTCACCTTCTCTTTACATTTGACAGTGCCAAAGCCCCCAGTCTCCCAGAGCCTCCCCACCAGGACACTTGCAGATTGTCTCTCCAGACAAAACAGCTCCTGCTCCAATACAAGCAGCGACCAGCCATACCTTACACAAATAAATGTTGCAACTCAAAACAGAAATTTAAATTATCTTCCTATTCTGTAAACACCTGCTTTTGAAGTTTACCTAAATTGCTGCCAAATTCTCATTTGCTGATCCCTGGTTTTAAGACTTTGGGACTCATTCAGGCTGGCTTTGCACAGAGTTCTATCAAAAAAAAAAAAAAAAAAAAAAAGGGCAACAAAACCCCCCACCAAAAACCTCTGTGTAGGCTGTGAGTTTTCAGAGTGCTGTATATTTTCACAGCCATTCTAGACACCAAAAAGCATAAAAGGATTATTATTATTATTATTACTACTGAATAACTTAGGTGTGAAATTCTTAGTATCATTTCTGATGTTTCCACCTACTCAAGTTTAATAATTTGCTGGATTCATTTTAAAACCTTGCCTGGCTCCATAAAAAATAATGCTAAATCACTACCAGAGGGCAATGCTTTTTGTCACGAGTTTGAGGCTTGTCTGGATTTAAATCTAGGATATTGAGAAAGGGAAATGGGATGGAACAGATGAGCAAGAGTGAAGCAAGTATTTCATATTTGAAAAACTTGACACTGTTGCATTGCAAAAATAATCACTTTGCATTATTGACTTCAGCAGAGCTGCTTGCTGCATGCAGATAAGCACTTGCCTGAACCCTTGGTTCACATTTTCCTGATGAACTAAAAGGATATGCAAGCCACCAAAGATCCTGTCAAATTTAACAGTTAAAAAACTTCTATTTTCTTCTAACGTAATAAAGCATCATCCTTGGCTTCAAACATTTACTGAACTTCTGGCTTATAATCTGAAAGCAGAAAGTTAACCCTATGTACAAGAATTTTTAATGGTTACCTTCATATATAGGAGCAGGGCAGTTGTCACCTTAAAATGTAATAATGCATACCTTTATGTTGCTCCACTTCTTTTGCAAGTAGATTCTGTCATTGAAGAATCAGACATAGGGATCTGCCTGTTCACATTGCGAATAACTGACAAGGCTGCTTCCTTCACAATGCTTCTGTTTGTCTACTTTTTTTTTACATGCTTAACATCAAAGTTACAGGGCACGAGTACACCCACCACAGAGGGGTAACCTCAGAACACAACGGAGGACCTCGTGTGCTTTTTGTAACGAAGCAGGATGGTCTACTCAGGATGGACCCTGCAGAAAAGGCTGCAGAATTCCCCAAACCACTTTCTCTGGTTTCTGCTCCAGCTATGCCCAGGCAGGCCCTCTCTCCGCCCCCCGGGTCTCCTGAAGGTTTTGCATCAGCACAGACATCACCCACGAGGTTAGATGCCTTCAGGAGCCAACCGCAAGTCTCAGCTACACAAGTGTTTTCAATTCCCCTCTACTATGTCAGTTCAGAAGATTCAAGTATCATACTTGAACTAAAGAGCAGCACCTGGTTAAATCCATAGTGGAAAAGGAGATAATGAAGGAAAAACACTCCGCTCCTTGGCACTGTCACTATTTTGAGCTCAAGCATGGGGAAGTCAACACAAGCAAGTCAGAAGATCAACAAACTGTTATAAATAACCCTTTATAATCACCCTTTTCATTCTTGAGTATTTTTGTGTTGCATTTGAGTGAAAAGTTACATTAAACCCCTGCCCACAAATTTATTTACGGCATGCCAAATGAGGAAAAAAAATCTGCCACTGCAGCAACATTTGAAGTTCAAGAGCAATGAATTGTAATACTAAACACAGCTTTTGAAATAGCCTCTCCTGAGGCTAGAGAGTCTCAAAGTGTTGCATTTGTAGGAGGTCCTAATTTCATTCGTCACCAAATCTTCCCAAGTGGCAGTTCTCACAACCACTTCACAAAAGCGATGCCACTGAAACCATGTAATAGACAAGTATTTAGCTATGCTCGCCCATGTTTGGAAATACAACCACACAGCACTTCTTTTGAAGAGACCGTAAACATGTAAATTGTAAATTAAGATTTTCTTTTAACAGGCAAAGTACATTTAATACGTTAATTTAAGCAGAGAAGCCGCCAGACAAAAGCAGCTAATGAACTTCCAATCACAGAAACTTCTTTAGAGATCCAAGGAGCATTTCTGATCTAATAGACTGATTAAATTAAATTGCTAAACCATTTTTTTATACACAACAATTTAACTCGTTCAGATCACCGAAAGGCACAGCAGTCATTTATACAAGCAGATGTCTGAAGCAAATTTTTTTTTTTTTTTTTTTTTTTTACAGCCCAAAGCAGTAACTCCAATAAAACAAGTGCCAAGCTGTGTACATCACAGTGTGGAAAAGGGCTTGAAATTATACCCAAAACCTCAGCATGCTGAAAGTCAGGCTACCACATGGCTGTCTCCTGAGGCAGCTCTCCGCTGTCCTGTCTGCC